TACTACTACTACTACTACTACTACTACTACTACTACTACTGCTACTACTACTACTACTACTACTACTACTACTACTACTACTACTACTACTACTACTACTACTACTACTACTAAGTAAACTCGAAGTTGCTCATATCCGAGTTAACCATGACTTGGAGTATACATGTAGTAAGAGTATTAGCATTCTACCCCTCTTCACCCACCTTGCAGTTCCATTCAACATCATCATACATATCATGCACTGTACAGTCCAGCTCAAGTGATGGTATGGTTATGCATACCTAGACCATGATGGGCCTGATCGAACGACCCCAAAGGGCACAGCTTACTGGCTTATACCGGATCTGAGTCCACGGTATCTTAACAACGGCCATACTGCAGTAAGCTCGAGTGATCTGCAAGGCCGATGACACAGTACTATGGTAGCATTTGGTCATACTTCAGTCGTGTACGGTAGGATAGTGTCAACCCATTCCCGTATAGCGTCGATTTCGAGCTCGAATGCGTGCAGAGTGATCTCGCCTGACATGAGCGACCTGAGAAGAACCAAAGGTGTGGTAGGAGAATTAAGCGGAATATTGTTACGCCGAGACTTGATCATATTCGAGACCACGGATGTACTTTTTCAAGTAACCCATAATAGTGCTCTTGTATAAATATGACGTCATGATGGTCCATTAAAAACGCCCGCAACTACTATGGAACTGAATTGTGGTCCAATCTCAATGATTCACTTGAGGCCCAGACTGGCCGTATTCGTTCACTCCAAACGCGACTACTTCGGTAACGCGAGCTTGTGCTCTTTGGAGTACAAATAAAAATACGATCAACCCGCATTTGTCAGTGTTTTCATCAGAAAAATTCCGTTCTAGTTGAGGAATGAAGTTAGTCAGTACTTCCAGCAGGATCCACCAGTGCTGTGATACATGTTTACTTTCCTCAGCTGAGCTCAGGAGTTTCCTCACTAATAATAGGAGTTCATATACGAATTAGGTTACAAGTATACAGATTCCCAAAATTTCTTCAGAAATTTCATATTGTCACCAACAGATTTGGTTGACCATTTGCAATTTTCACCACCCTGAGCTCCACTATTACAAACGCTCAGACCCATCTCGGCGAGTTTCTTCACTAGGATCTCT